ATCACGTGAAGGACCCTTCACTCAGCTGTGAAGAAGCAACTCCCAGGATAAGGATGCTTAAGATGGCCTTTTATGTTTTAATTTCCTGTTATAGGCCACTGATAGTGTAGTTTGGAGGTAAAGCATGCACTTTGCATGTGCAAGGCACTGGGTCCAATTCCTGGTACCAATTTGTTGTTTTGTTGAGACAGGGTCTCACTATGTAGCCCTGGCTGTCCTGGAACTCACTATATAGACCAGGCTGACCTTGAACTTGAACTCACAGAGATCCACCCACCTCCCCCACCCCCCACCGAGTGCTCAGATTAAAAGTGTGCACTCCACACCTGGTTTCTATTACCAGTCTTTAAAAATATGATCTCAAGATGTGAAGTTTCAGGATGGGATTTTACACAGCAATAGACAAACAGGATAGAAACTGGTGTCAGGAGTCGTATATTGACATTGAAAAGATGTTAATATCTGGCCAATGAGATGGCTCAGTGCAGAATAGCATTTTCCCGTCAAAGCCTGAGGACCTGAGTTCAATCCCCGGAACATGCAAGAACACACATGGTGGGAAAGGACAACTGACTCCCACAAGGTGTTCTCTGACCTTCACACGCAGGCCATGGTATGCATACCAGATAGACAGACCTACATCAGGGAGCTCTAAAGCAGGCCAAGGCTCACCGAGTCTTGATCGTTCCAGGGCACTGGAAGAACAGCAAGGAAAGCTACTGGAAGCCAGGAAGGATTTGCACATGAGGTGTCAGAAAGAGCAACAGAGCTGCCAGGCGGTGGTGGCACAGGCATTTAATCCTAGCACTCGGGAGGCAGAGGCAGGTAGATCTCTGTGAGTTCAAGGCCAACCTGGTCTACAGCGTGAGTGCCAGAACAGCCAAGAAAGGCTGCCTTGAAAAACAAAAACAAAATCAGCAAAGCTTGGACCCACAGGAAGGAGGAATGCAGAAGTGTCTGTTGGACAGTAGGTTTGGGGGAAGTATTAACTGCTGTGTTTGTGTTGAAGGATGGATGGAAACAAGTGGACTAGGTTATGAATAGTTCTGCTTTTTAAACATGCTGTAAAGAAAATATGAAGAAGCAAGGCCTGACTTCGAAGTCTGTGGGTCCCATACTCTCAGCCTCCCCACATAGCAAATTATCCTCAAAGTAAATGGCTTGAAAATTGAAAAGGACTCTCTTCAAGACAGATCTATTTTAAGGCTTCTGGGGATTTAAAGACAGCCCCCCCCCCCAACACACACACACAGACTGCCCAGACCCTTAAGGCTGTCCTTATAGCACCCTGATTCTTACTTCAAGCCAGGCAGACAGGGCCTTGTCTCAGAAGTTCTTGTGAGACAGAGTGTGGCTTCTGTCAGCTCCCAAACGATCCCCACGAAATCCTGCAGTCGTATGAGATTTGAGCAGGTGTGCCCTCAGCTTGGCCTGACTGAGACAGGGATGGTTCAGAAAACTCTAGGCCTCTACATTTTCAGGGGGAGGAGGCAAGACAAAGAAGCTATTCACCAGCATGTATGAGCTGCTCTTACAACAAGGCAGAGCCAAGGACGACAGAGAAGGGCTCCCTGGAGCAAAATGCTGCCTAACTGACTCAAACACATGCCTAGCTGAATTGCAGGCAGACTGTGATGAGTGACATCCCTGTGCCTCCTTGCACTGCCTCCTCCACCACCATGAGTAGGACTGTCTGACATGGTCACCCAGTATAGCCTGCTGTATGTTGGGTGTAGATGGTGAGATGGGTACAGGTAACACATTCTTTTAGTTTCTAGGTACTCTTATTGAAGGCAAACCTTCTGAGGAGACTCATTTGCATCTTGGCCTGATTTAGAAGACAAGATCCTGGCCTTCCAACCTCATTCCCATAAGGCTTTGGAAATGTGACAAGATGTGACTTAATCATGCCCAGAGGGCAGTCTTCGATAGTTCGTGTTTTCCAAATATAACTGAAACAGCATGGTCATCTCTGATGCTTCTGGATTGCCAGCTGGCTGCTCCTTCATCAAGAGGTGTTTAGTTAGTGCTCAACATGATAATAATATCAATACAAGCATGAGGGTTTATTTTTAACCCCCTCCTTTTTGTTCCATTGTTCTTGACTTTGTGGGGATTTTTTGTCTTATTATTATTATTATTATTATTATTATTATTATTATTATTATTTAATTTCTCTTTGCCTTCAGGACAGCCTCCTCATGATTCTGAGATAGCTTCATACGTAACAGCATGGAGAGAGAATTGCTTTTCTGTTTTACTTTTAAAGGGTTCGAGACACCTCCAACAGACTTCTGCCTCCTTGGGGAGAAGTATATCTCAGGTCCCTTCCTAACTGGGAGTTTACCACAGGCGGTTTAACCTCAGACTCAATCCTCACCCATGGGAACCATCCCTAGATACAGAAACAAACTTCAGTTTCTATGAACTGGGAGTTTAGCAATGGCAGAGATGACCAGCAACCAAGAGCAACTACCACAAGAAAATGAAGGAGTTGAGTCAGTGTTAGCTACTGGGTAGTTAGTTCATCAGGAACATTCCTTTCTACTATGTTTTTTTTTTTTCCAACTAAAACTTTATGACAAAAACTTCCTGTCTGCCCTGTTACCATGCAAGTTGAGCATGTACAAAGGTGCTGCTGTCCATGTTAACCTTTTGAACTATGACCTCGAGCTAAGCATGCTGCAAAATGTATCTGTCCTACTTCCTAATGGCTGGAGTAACAAACCACTAGACTCTGTGTTGGGAGCAATGCTCCAGGAACCCTCTTGCCACATGCTGTGGGAATGTCTCTTTCTCTACTAGTATTCCTTGGTATGGTTCTTGTCTTGACATTTTTATTCACCTGAACAGGAGCCCATTGTGCTAAGTTACAACAGACTTTGGAAGTAGACTGGGACAAGAACTGGTGTTAGCCTCTACATGGAGCCAAGGGTAAAAGGAAGTGCTAGAGTATGTACTTCCCTTGTCTCTAAAACAAGCCTGACTTTCTCCTCCAAGCTGAGAGGTGAAAGAATTGGCCACTAGGTGGCTTCCCCATTTGTCTAAGGGACACTAATGTCCTGGTCTGAAGGTGAAAGCACCTGAGAGAAGAGTGTCTGAAATAAAGTACAGTTTTCTTTGTTGAGCTCCAGGCACTCTGGGTCTCAGAATGGCAGGGTAGCATCTGGGGAGATGGCAGCTTGGCCCAGGGAAGGTCGAACATTGAGGCTCTTTCTAGCAGACTGGGAATCGGCATAGCTGCATCCCACCCTCAGGATATGGGAGGAGGGTGGGGCTCTTATAGGATCTGCAAGAAAGACTTGTGTTCTCAGATGGCATGGGTGTGGGGAATTTTTGTGCAAATGATACCAGGCAGTTGCCTCCTCAGATCACAACCACAGGAGGGCTGTGGGAGTGGTTCATCTGCCCCTACTTCTCCCTGGTGACCTTTGGGCATAGGAAATCCAGGCTAAGCCCACATATACAGGGAGCATGGGCACGTTACTCAAAGCTGGTAACACTATGAGTACTGCTTGAAGTCACTGTCTTCACAGAGACTGTGCCACCCCTCCTCAAAACACTTTTTTTTTTTTTTTTGGTCTCCTCTCTCACTACCTCTGAACAGAAGCTTTGTGTACCTCTGGCCTGTGCAGACAACCAAGCTATGATTTCCTCTTGGTGACATTGCCAGTAGCCACTCCATTCCAATTCCCCAAAAGCTCAGGTTTGCATTCAATAAATGCAGGATGAGGCAATGTCAGCTGCCCAGTGTGGCCGCTGTGTTGCTTTGCTGAATGGTGTGCCCAAAGTGGCCCATGTGTGTCCTTGAACTAGATTCCTAGAAGCTGAGAAAGCCCAGGTTGCAGCTTTTCTGTGGAGTGAGGCCAGACAGGAACAGTGTGGGACATGGAGCCATTGCCCTAGCTCTTACCTCCAAAATATACAGATCTGGGCCTTGTGCCTAAGTGGTGTTGAATGAATGAACTAAGTCCTGAGTAAGTATATTCTTGACATGAGCACAGCCATGTAAAGGACCCCAGTGCCTTAGACCCATGGGAATAACAAGGCCTTTCCCTGGTCGAGCACAGACCTTCATTTCCTACCTTCATTTTCACAGTCTAGAAGTCACAGGGCTTCAGTCTGTGGTCCCCCAGACTGCTGCTTGACTGCACCTACTATCTTGTGCATGCTACATCCAGCTAGTCTGTTTCCTCACTCTGAGATGATACAAATACTCCTGTAATATATTCTGAATCTGGCACCTGGGATGTCCAAAAAAGTATGTTTAGTGAACAGAAAAATGCTGATGCTGCTATACACATATATCTGCAGGAACACACAGCTTGGTGGCTCCAAAATCAGCTTGCTGGATAACAATGGAATCTTTATTCTCTAACCCAGTGTTCCCCAGATCCTCCTGGCAGGGCCTGAAGCTTCCAAAATCTATTCCATAACAGCTTGAGTACCTTTCCATTGGCTGCCTGTCTTACTTAGGGTTTCTATTGCCGTGAAGAGATGGCCACAACCACAGTAACTCTTGCAAATGAAAACATTTAATTGGAGTGGCTCGCTTACAGTTTCAGAGGTTCAGTCCATTATCATCGTGATGGGGAGCATGGCGGCATGCAGGCAGATATGGAGTTGTAGTTGTAGCTGAGAGTTCTACATCATCTTACAGGCAACAGTAAGTCGACTGAGACACTGGGTGGTATCCTGAGCATAGGAAACCTCAAAGCCCACCCCCCTCCCCACAGTGACGCACTTCCTCCAGCAATGCCATACCCACTCCAACAAAGCTATACCTCCCAATGGTGCCACTCCATATGAGATTATGGGGGCCAATTACATTCAAACTACCACTTCAGTGCCTCTGGGCCCTGCTTAACTTCTGCCACTGTTCACATGTCTATGTATGTCCTGCTGAAGACCTCTCTTCAGAAAATGGTACAATCCACCTTTCTCCAAGATTGTGATTTTGACACAATTGTGATTGTGATTGTGTGTTGACATCCCAACAGACCCTTTTCATGGAGGCTGTATCACTGAGACCTTGGTGAATAAACTCTGATCCCCAACACACTGGACGAGCCAAGTGCTACTGACCTCTGTACTTCCTTTTTAGGTAAAGTAAACAGTATTTCACAGTTTCCTCCAAAATGTACAGATCTGGGCCTTGTGCCTAAGTGGTGTTGAATGAATGAACTAAGTCCTGAGTAAGTGTATTCTTGACATGAGCACAGCCATGTAAAGGACCCCAGTGCCTTAGACCCATGGAAATAACAAGGCCTTTCCCTGGTCAAGCACAGATGTTGACAGCGTCTGCAGAAAACATCAAGCACAGCTTATTTCTTCAGAATGACACAACCTGAGATTGCTCCCCAGCATCTCTTATGGAGATGAGCTAACCTGCCCATCATCCCCAGGATCTGCAATAAACACATCAGATTTCCTGGCCATTGGTGCATCTCCATCAGAGCCCAGCAACCACCCCTATCTCAGTGTGCCTGTCATTTCTTCATTCCCCATCCCATAGTCAGATCAATACCAAAGCCCTGCATGTCGTGGCAATGTTAGACAAGTTCTTCACCTACCCTGGTGGTCTGTGCTTGATCCCGAGAGAACTGGAGATGATGATAATGATTATATGAGAAGCACTTCATACACCACCTAGCATATTACAAACACTCCTAAGTACCAATCACTGCTATCTGCCTCTCTCTCAAAACCCTCAGAAAAAGGCGGTATGTGCCAGGCAACTCCCATGGTGCTAACAATCTGGCCAGCACACTGGCCACACAGTGGAGCTTGGTTTCAAGTGTCAGCCTGGGAGTTGGCCCATGTTGTATTTGTTTGCATTCCTCTTCCCTCCAGCCCCTGGCATCTGGGTCTCCGGGTGTTATTAGTAAATAACATTTCCTCATTCCATCCGAATCGTTTGAAGAAAAGTATTTCGCTGTCTCTGCTGGCCCTGCAGATTTGACTAGTCATGGAAATAAAACTCTCTGGCCGACATCTGTCCTAGGATGATAAACCTTCAGAGAACATTTTCTCTCAGTGGAAAATTTTAGCAAAACCCTCTGCACAGCAGGGCGCTTACACCACCACCCACCATTGTGGTCACACTCCGAGACCCAGGCAGAGTCACTCCTGTGGGTTAGACCCCACTCTACATTATTGTTCTGGTCAGTACATGCAATGAATTGATTTTTTTGAGCAGAGGATTCCCCAGTCTCCTGCCAGACCTACAAGGACAAAACTCTCATCCTTCTTGCATTGCCAGAATTTAGTACTCTGGAGGTATTTGCGACTACATTTCTATGAAGAAACAGGCACAGCTGCATTTATTCAGATGACCCTGGCTTTATCATGTGACTTCTAGGACATTGTGCAAGCTTATTTTGCCAACTCTAAAATGAGATAAATAAGCTTCCTGTCTCAAAGCTATAGCATAGAAGATATGAGCCCTCCAAAAGCTATGGGCTCGGTGATGTATTCTTTCCAAACTGAGCAGTCTGGATGTACCCATACCATAGAAATAGGCCCAGTGCAAAACAACCCAGAAAGAGGCCCAATGGGAAGATGGCTAAATAAGTTGTGTTGCATCTATTTTACAGGTGACTGCCAGCAAGGGGGATGAGAGAACTATCAATATCAATACAACATGGATGGAAATCAAACTGCTGAATAGAAAGACTGGCCCTGAGAGGTAGCACTGAACAAATGCTGGGAAAATCAGGGTGTAGGAAAGGGAGCCACCAGAGGGGTGTTTCGGGGGACTACTGGGAAAGCAGGCCCTTCAAGGATAGCAGGGGGCATCCTGGATGCTGGAATGCTAACTGCTTTACGAAAGGCAATATCCAAGTTGTAGACAGCAACATCCAGGTTGTGAGATTGATCCCTGGGTATTATTTCTTGTGACTTGCAACTCCCAAAACTGAAGCTTTAATTCGAAGAGACACCATGTAGTTTTCTGGGTAGACCAGATGTTATAAATTGCTCTGCTTATTGATTCCCTGACCGTACCAGTTCATTTATCTGCTTTATCTCATTTGCTTTTACATGTAACAGTTCTCATCTATAACCTATGACAGCAGTGGCACACGCCTTTAATCCCGGCACTTGGGAGTCAGAGGCAGGTGAGTTCGAGACCAGCCTGGTCTACAGAGTGAGTTCCACAATAGCCTGGGCTACTCAGAGAAACCCTGTCTCAACACCCCCCACACACAAATTTTTAAACCTAACAAATATTGTTTTCCTTAGAAATCTATTTGGGTGGCTTGAATGAGAATATCCCCCCCAGACACACACTTAGATTCTTGTATTTGAACACTTTGGCCCCAGTAGGTGACACCATTTGGGAAAATTGGGGAACCTTTAGGAGGTGGAGTCTTGCTGAAGGATGTATGTCACTTAGGGGTGGACTTTGACTCTAGTCTGGTCCTACTCCCTGTTTGTTCTCTGCTTGGTGCTTATGGCTGAGGATGTGAGCTGCCAGTTGCCTGCTCCTGCCACCATGCTTGCTGCCATGCCTCTGGAGCCATAAGTCAATAAAGTTCCTTCTATAAGTTGGTTTTCATGGTGTATTTTTTTCCCAGCAACAGAAAAGTAACCCATTTACTATGTAAACCTATACAACCATTTGTCAAAGGGCTTTGGAACATAGCTAGTTAACTTCCCTTGAGAATTTCAAAGCACATTTATAATTAAAATATGTTTAATTTTCTTCTTAAGCATTTTGGCTGTCCAATAAGCACAAACACCCCAAATGCTGAATACTGCCCACAGATAAAACACATACAGTAGGCATTAATTTCTTCTTACAGCAACCACTGGCTGCATCTGATGACCTCCTGGAGTCCAGTGGGCTGTCATTATACACATTTTCCATACATATTACACACAAAAGCCAGAACAGACCCTGCGGACCAAAGATGTAGTACAAAATGCAGGGAAATTCCAAGCAGATCCTGTCTTGGCTACATTTGGTCCTTTTCAAGCCATAGTAACAGGAAGATGAGTGGAGTAGACCTCTGCCTCAGAACACCCATCCCTCCTTCCTTCTCTGCACATCTGGGTTCTGTCTACCACCCAAGACAAAGTAAATATCTTTGTTCATCATCACTTTTATGGTTTGGATCTTATATGCCCCTTCATACCCACAGAGTCTCAAGTAGTCTGTAGTGCTATTTTTTGTTGTTGTTGTTTTTTGAGACAGGGTTTCTCTGTGTAGCTTTGGAGCCTATCCTGGCACTCGCTCTGGAGACCAGGCTGGCCTCCAACTCACAGAGATCCGCCTGCCTCTGCCTCCTGAGTGCTGGGATTAAAGGCATGTGCCACCAATGCCCGGCCTAGTCTGTGGTGTTATTGAGAGATGGTGGAACCTGCAGGACAGTGGTTCTCAACTGTCCTGTCATGATCCCCAAAGACCACTTGAAAACACAGATATTTACATTACAATTCCTAACAGTAACAAATTTACGTGATGAAATAGCAATGAAATAATTTTATGGTTTGGGAGTCACCACAGCATGAGGAACTGTATTCCAGGGTTGCAGCATTAGGAAGATTAAGAACCACTGTTTTAGGAGATAGGTTTAGTGAGAGGAAGTCAGGTCACTGGATCATACTCTTTTTTTTTTTTTTTTTTTTTTTCCCGAGACAGGGTTTCTCTGTGTAGCTTTCGATCCTATCTTGGCACTCACTCTGGAGACCAGGCTGGCCTTGAACTCACAGAGAACCACCTGCCTCTGCCTCCTGGGGCTGGAATTAAAGGCGTGCACCACCAACGCCCAGCTGGCGCATACTCTTGAAGAAGATATTGGGGCCCTGGCTCCTTCCTCACTCTCATTTACTTCTGGGCCACCATGAGGTGAACAGCCTTGTTCAACCATACAGTCCCTCCAGGACGTTCTTTGACACAAGCTCAGAACCATAGAACTTTGAGTCCAAATCAAAGTTTTGTTGATTTATATGAAGTATCTGTCATTGTACTATTAAGCCTACCATCACAACTATCTAAGTCTCCAGTCATGGCTTCTATCGTTGGATGCTTCTCTGTCTGACACCTTGGTTTTCTTCAAAGGCTTCCTTCCTCTTTGTCACTCCTGACTATGACTCAGAACTTCTCAAGAGTGCTTGCAACAAAAGGAAAGTCAAACCAAACAAGACCATCTTAGGGCAATTACTCTGCACAGTCACAGAGGAGTGCGTGAAGATCAGAGCCTACCACAGGCTAGCCCAGAACTTCCTTACCATTCCATAGCACAGCTGGGAGATTAGAAAAAATTTCCACTGCAGACAGATGGGTCAGGCATAGTTGTTCCAGCTCCAAAGCCATCGTGGAAACCTTTCCCCTGACTGCTTGCAGCTCGCACATCAACTCACCAGTCACACTTAATGTGATTGTTATTTAGGGAGATGGTGGAAACGCAAAATGCTTTGTACTAGATGGAAATGTTCAGCCAGAAGTCTAGGTGGCTGGAATCCTGTCATCGCTAAGCTGATGGCACTCGGTCTCATCCCATCTCAAGTACTCTTCCAGCTACCCACAGGCATTCGGTGCAGCATACAGAAAGCAGGGTCCTCGAGTGGGCATGTTGTCTCTGGCGGGGTCAGGAGACACATGACTTTTGGCAGCTGAGCATTTTGGTGGCAGCAGGCTAACAAAGGGGGGAACAGTGGCTCTTTAGAAAGGACATGCCTAAGGCTCTGGACATCACTGGAGTCTGCATGTGGGGGGTGGTGGTGAGAGGAGTGTATCTCTGCTCAGTGGGCGCACTAGGCAGAGGACAGACAGACAGCAAGAACAATTGCTCAGATTTTCAGAGGTAAATTCTGGGGTGCAAGGAGGAAGGGATGAAGTAGTTCCCGGGGCTGGAGAAAAGGTTCAGTGAATTTTTATTGTTCTTGCAGAGGACCCAGCTTAGTCCCCAACCATCTGTAATCTTAGTTCCAGGAGGGTATGATGCCATCTTCTGGCCTCTGTGGGACTCCAGACATGCACATGGTGCACAAAATCAGGCAAAACACCCATATGCATAAAAACAAATAAATCTAAAACAATAAAAAATAAAAGCAAAGAAATCCCTGGATGGTATGTGGCTCAGTGATTAGAGTGCTCGTCTAGCATGTGCAAGACCATGGGATCAACCCAGAAAGGAGATCTGGGCACAAGGGTGTAGGGGAGGCTGCTTCAGTCTGGGCAGGTAGAGGAAGTGGGCTGGGTCCTCAGTGTGTGTGTGTGTGTGTGTGTGTGTGTGTGTGTGTGTGTGTGTGGAGAGAGTCCCACCAATTCCCTCCCATTGGTCAGCCTGAGCCAGCCCATGCATCCCCCACCCCTTTCAGCCTAGTCCAGGCTGCAGCCTCAGGGCAGAACCATCTTTTGTCATTTGCCTTCTCCACTGTGGTCAGAGCCTGCCCATGTGGTAGGTACTCTCTGGTAGGTCTTACTATTCAGTGAGGTTCCCTTGGTAACAGAGGAATGTGTTCCTCATGTATATATTCTCATGAGGGAGGGAGACCAGAGAGAGCCAATGCTTGGGCCACCAGGCTGCAATCGGCAACACTGACCATGACAGTTACTCCTCCTCAGACTGTCTATCTGTCTGTCTTCATAACTTTGTCTAGGCATTAATGTGCCCTATGGCACACATATGGAGGTCGGAGAACTTCTTATGGGAATCAGTTCCATTATGTGAGATTTTGAGCAAGAACTCAAGTTTCCAGGCTTGACAACAAGCACTTTTACCCACATGTTCATCTTACCACCCCTTGCCCAGACTTTAATACTGGACACTGGATGATTGATTTCTCAAAACTACTTCATTGTCCCAGGCCTGGGTGGCTCCTGGGATGAGAGGAGTTGAGCAGTGTGCTTATGATTTACAAAGACTCCCCTTGAGAAACCAGAGTGTTTGCTGATAGGCTGCTGGACTGTGCCTTTCTGATTGCCAGGGAGCTGGAATTTTCTTGCAATCCCAGCCCACTTCTCCACTAGAGCATTACCACTCTTTACAAATCAGTTTATCTTTAAAAAAAGATTTATTTATTTTTATTTTATATATGTGGGTGTTTTGCCTTATATGTCTGTTCATCATGTGAATGCAGTATCTATGAAGCCAAGGAGAGAGCAACAGAATCCCCCAACCTGGAATTACAGATTGTTTGTAGCCACTCTGTGGATGTGGAGAATTGAACCCAGGTCGCCTGGAAGAGCAGCTCTGAACCTCCAAGTCACTTTTTTTGTTTGTTTGTTTGTTTGTTTGTTTTCAAGACAGGGTTTTTCTGCGTAGTCCTAGCTGTCCTGGAACTCTCTCTGTAGACCAGGCTGGTTTCAAACACACAGAGATCCACCTGCCTCTGCCTCCCAAGTGCTGGGATTAAAGGCGTGCGCCACCACTGCTCTGTCCAGCCTACTTTTTACAAAGCTGTATTTGTTGATCAAAATCTGTTCTTGGTCTTTAAAGTGAAAGATACAGGCTGAGGTACACAGACTTAACTAGAAAGGGCATTGACTAAGAAAACAGTCCTAGGGTCAAACCCATTCACGCAGAGGTGCAGGCAGGTTCTCTGAACAACTCCTTTGAAGCTTAGGGAATCCTAGCTTGTGGGATTTGATAGGAGCATAGCAGAAGGCTAAATCAGTGGTTCTTGACCTGTGGGTCAAGATCCCTTTGGGGTTAAATGAGCCTTGCACAGGGTTCCTTATCAGATATCCTGCATATCAAATATTTGCATTACAATTCATAGCAGTAGAAAAATTATGAAGTAGCAATGAAATAATTTTATGGCTGGGGGGGTCACCACAGCACGAAGAAGGAGCCCAGCATTAGGCAGGTTGAGAACCACTGCTTTAGACTTTGAATATACATATATCACACAAGCATCTCATTAGAGGGCAGACTGGATTCAAGGGGTATGGGCAGAGCCTGAGGACCTGTAACAATAAATCTTTCTGCCAGCCTGCATGAGTTCTGCCTGTCTCCGCATTAAGGTCCCAAGTAACACACAGAGATTTATATTAGATAAAATGCTGCTGACCAATGACTAAGATTTCTTATTTGCTAGCTCTGTCTTACATATCACCTTAACTATTATTAATCTATATATTTTATAAACTTATCTTATTGAGGCACCG